TAAAGCTTCTTTGCACGCAAACGCCTCGGCCATGAGTTGGGAGAAACAATTTGGTAACGGGGCACTGTATGCCGCAACATATCATCCATCGGCATCTAGCAATACAACACCTACCGCGACAGAGTTCCCGTCGTGATAGTACCTGGCATCGACAAAGCATCTTCGTGGGTGAATACCGGCAGTGGCCATACTGGCCGTAGCAGTAGGACCCGACAGCGGATGAAGGAGCGGTCCGGCCGTGGCAGCAACAGTGGTGTTGCCGGTAGTAACCTGGTCGGCCATCGTGCCGTGCACACGTTGCCACGGTAATCAGCTTCCTGGTTAATAGTAGGCAGGCATCCCATACTGTTCCATTCCGTGCCCTCCAGATATGATATAGAATCGCATCTGCATACACGACTCCATTAGTGTCTAGAACATTCAAGATTGCACTAAATCACTCATGGAAAATATTCGTCACAATATTGGGAAGTAGAAGGTTGGATTGTGCCCATACGGAACTAGCATAACCACACAATACTAATGAGTGCATAGTGTCCTCTTGCATGACTCCACACACATGACACAAATTGGATCTACATCTACCCTCTTTATAAGCCTTTATAAGCAAATTGTTGGTAGTGAGAAGAATATTACTTAAAAGCTCCCCACAAAAATGTCTTCCATTTTGGGGGGATTTTTAGCTTCCATAGGGTGGGCCATTTATCAAAAACTCCATTATTAGTAATTGTGTAATTCCCAACAATGCTTCTGTAGCCATCCTTGACAGAATAACAATCCTTTGCATCCCCATACCAATACCACATATCATTATAGTATGGGGAGACGGGTATCCTCAGAATTCTTGGTACATCATTTGGTTGGAAAATATCTGACAATATATGATAGTTCCCTGGGTCTATTAGTCCAACCACTTTAGCTCCTGCCATCTGCGGTGGCATTTCCGTATGGATCATAGGATCTAAATCGTCCTGCAGCCACGGTTGTTCCCAGATTAAAGTGTTAGTCCCAGTCCCAATACGTCGTCTCACCCCACCACAAACTAGGTATGTTTAGGATAATACCTTGCCTGATAGGCTGATACACACGGAACACTAACGAGCCAGAATTGGTAAGCATTCGTCATGCCTGCTTACTCAACATTGCCAGGTTAAAAGCTCGTAAATCTAATTCAAGACAATTTTAAAGTTGAAATTTTAAATTCTTAATATTTTATCGTTTGCATCACCAAAATCTAATTATACTTTATTACTAACAAAATCAATAACATTTTTTCCTTGACCTAGGTTTATATACAGATTGTTTGAGAAAAATTCCAAGATTGTGCTCCTTGTAATCCTTAGAATTGAAGGATTAATTTAAGAAAATAGAACTACAAACAAGAGCCCATAGATAAGGAACCAAACTGGAAAAAGAAAAAAAAAAACAAAAACAAAAACAAAAAACAAATAGGAGATAGAGGAGAAATTAATTACAGTAATTGAAATCCTGCACACTTGCACAGTACACTTTTTCAAACTTAAATACAAAAATAAAATAAAATCCTTACTTTAAAAATAAAAAATAATAATAATCCTGTACACTGCCCATTTCTCTAAAAATATAATATTCCTTGATAGCTCAACTTCTTATTTTTTTTTTGAATGCTACTGACTCTATTACATTGTAGTATCTGTTCAAATATACTTTCTCAACCTAATGAAGCACAAAGAGTCAACAACGCCTCCACTGAGGCTCGATCTCATGACTTCCCACATGGGAGAGGTCACTACATGCCATCTGAGCACAAGGTGCTTGGCAGCTCAACTTCTTATTTAATTATGAGAAAATTTCAATTTTGGTCACACGATTATTGGGGCTTTGTTAATTTCAGCACCTAACTTTTAAAATTGTCAATTTAGTACCTTGAGTATGTAATTTTTGTCAATTTTAGTCACTTCGGCCAATTTTTCGGCCAAATTTGACCGGAAAAATTTAACCCAACATTAAATCTAAAATTTTAGGGGCAAAATGGTCTTTTCAATCATTTCTCCTAATTAAGTTATGTGCAATGATGTGTTGGAAAGATACCCAGAACTAGCCACGGAAGCCTCTCCAACCATCACGCAGCGCCTAGAGGTGGCAAACCCAACCCTGATTGCGATGGCGAAAGAAGCAAGCCTGGCTTGCATAAACGACTGGGGGCGGCCGGTTGAGGAAATCACCCACGTCGTCTACATTTCCACGAGCGAAATCTGGTTGTCCGGCGGCGATCTCTACTTGGCCGCCGAACTCGGCCTGAAAAGTGACGTCAATCGCATAGTGCTCTACTTTCTCGGCTGCTACGGCGGCGTCACCGGCCTCCCGGTCGCCAAAGACATAGCGGAGAACAACCCAGGGAGCCGCGTCCTGTTAACCACGTCGGAAACCACCATCCTCGGCTTCCGCTATCACGACCTCGTCGGCGCGGCGCTCTTCGGCGACGGCGCGGCGACAGTGATCGTCGGCGCCGACTCCAGGGAAAACGTGGAAAACCCATTCATGGAACTCAGTTTTGCCGCCCAGCAGTTCCTCCCGGGGACCCAAAGCATGATCGACGGCCAGATCTCCGAGGAGGGGATAAACTTCAAGCTGGGCAGGGATTTGCCGGAGAAGACTGAACACAACATCGAGGACTTCTGCAAGAAACTGATGGGCAAAGCCAATAATAATAATAATTTGAGTTATAATGAGTTGTTTTGGGCGGTCCATCCCGGAGGGCCGGCGATTCTGAAAAGGCTGGAGGGGACTCTGGGCTGAGGATCGAGAAGCTGGATTGCAGCAGGAGGGAATTAGGAGAAAGGAGAGAAAAGACCATTTTGTCCCTAAAATTTTAGATAAATGTTGAATTAAATTTTTCCGGCCAAATTTGGTAGGCAATTTGGCCGAGTGACCAAAATTGACAAAAATTACATACTCAAGGTACTAAATTGATAATTTTAAAAGTTAGGTGCTGAAATTAACAATGCCTCTATAGTCGTGTGACCAAAATTGAAATTTTCTCTTTAATTATTTGTTTATTTGCACCGAGTCCTTCAAATCTCATTTTTATAAGGTTTTTGGTTTTCCAATTAGAGTACAAAATGAAATTGGAAAAAGTGTCAAATTGGCCCCCTAAGTCGAGTGGATAGTGCAATTGAGTCCCCTAAGTGAAAAAGCTCCATTCAGGTCCCCTAAACCTGTAAAATTGTTCAATTAAGTCCAAGTTGACTTGTTTATCAGGTTAAATGCATATGGTGTTGATATATGTCCTTATTTTATTTTTTTATAAAAATATTATTTATTATAAATTATAAATTAATTATAATAATAATAATTAAAAAAAAAAACAACCGTGGCCGTCCGGCCATGGCCGTCTTCTAGATCTGGACGAGGGCTACGACCTTCGCCGCCGCCCTCATTCCAGACAGAGGGGACTGGAACGTCTGGCCACGACTGTTCTTGAAGAAGGAAGACAATCACCGGCTGTTTGGCTGGTGTTTTTTTTTTTTTTTTTTTTTTTTTTTTAATAATAATAATAATAATATTATTATTATTAATTTATAATAAATAATATTTTTAATAAAAAAAAAAGACACGTGTTAACACCGTATGCATTTAACCTGATAAACAAGTCAAGTTGGACTTAATTGAACAATTTTACAGGTTTAGGGGGCCTGAATGGAACTTTTTTCATTTATGGGACCTAATTGCACTATCCACTCGACTTAGAGGACCAATTTGACACTTTTTCCAATGAAATTAATAATAGGCATGGTGCTATATGTAAAATATTCCTAGATAACTCAACCACCCATCTTTCAACTAATTAAAATTTGTTTATTAAATATTACCCCTTTTTTAATATTCTTTGTTACAATTTACCTATCATAATTACTATTTATTAGTTAAATCAATTCCTTCTTTCTTTACTTATTTTAAATTAATTTTAAATTTATTTTTTTGTATTTAATAATACTTCTAAAATATATAAACTTTATATACAAATACTAAACCTTTTTTTAATATTATAAAAAAAATTAATTAAAAATAACTTCAGTCAAACATGGTTAACTGAACAAGACACATAAAATTGGACAGAATAAATAATAATTAAATGTTGAACGTTAATCATAGTTGTTATCATGGTTGCAAAAATCGCGCCTAGGCGCTAGGCGGCCGCGAGGAAGGCCGGAATCAGCCTCCTCCGCGGCAGGCCGGTTCGGCCGTTTAATTATTTATTTATTTTTTCGTTTTAAAGTGTTAAAAGTTCGGGAAGGCATAACTTTTGACTCGGTTATCCGTTTTGGACAATTTTTTTTTCAAATCGCGTATTTTTTCGGGATCTATACACCACAAATAGCCAAAGGTGGTTTGACCCTCTAATTTCTCTAAAAAAATGCTTTTTTTTTGCTCTTAATTTTAATTTTTTATGTATTTAGATGGTTTCAACAATATTCAAAACGATTTTACAACCACTTATGTAAATAATTTGTAAGAAAAAACCAGGGCAACCTTATGTTTTATTAGTGAATTTCACAATTTTTAATTATTTTTTTATTTAAAAATAAAAAATAAATAAAAAATAGGCGCCTAACGTATTTTGCAATTTTGGTTGTTATATTAAAATTAGACATTACAGCTCATTAAATGACTACTTTACTAGTTATTGGATTTGTCACCATACTGAATCCTGAGCTACCAATTTTTAAAATTTTTTTTTGGGGGTCATTCAATGAATGATTCCCCAACAACTACACCATTTTTTATCTTTGTAACAACAAGCTATGATGTTATCTTTGAATTAAACTATTTATTAATGCTACAAGTTGCAGAAAGCCACCAAAATATTTAACTTAAAAAAATAGCATTGCATTATAGAGGGTGTCTTGCCATTATCGAATTCCCCAGTTGCTTCTTCTGTGAAAACTTACACAAATTCAAAGTAACTAAAAAAAAAAAAGAAGAAATTGCAGTTGCATCACACACAAACAGAAGGAAGGATGGCTTGTGTAGCAGTAGCTTCTCTTGTGAGAACAATAGAGCTTGAGTTCTTGCAATATCAGCCTCGTCCACTTGTACTGCACAATCATCTCATCTCTTTCAACAAAGACTTGATCCAATCTTTCCACCAAAAGCTTGGGTTTCTCATAACTCAGCTCGATGAGGAAAGAATCGATGGCGTTGAAGCAGTTAAACGCTTGGAAACCAAGCTCCGGGATTTAGCTTTCAGAGTGGAAGATGAAATTGAAATCCTAGTAGCAGACCTTTATGATGAAGATGAAGATGAAGTCAAAATAGCAGATCTCGTTTTGAAAGAGGAAAACCCACAGAAGGACACAGAAGGGGAGAAGACTACTCAGCCTTATTGTGTGAAACTTCATCAAGTTTTTCAAAGTGCAATGGAAGAAATTGAAGCCATCGAGGAAGAGTTGGTGAAAATCAAGAATATGGACGAGGCAGAAGGAAGAAAGACAGCCCATGATGTTCTACAAAGGTCTGAAGTTCTTTCCTTCCAGCATGATTCACACTCCAAGGAAGAAATGGTCGGGAAAATAGACGAGTTTGAGATAATCAAGAAGCTGCTAACTGAACTTGGATGTAAGGAAAAAAAAGTTGTATCTGTTATAGGTATGGGAGGAATCGGTAAGACAACTTTGACCAGGAAAGTTTATGAAGATCCGTTAGTTTCTATCCACTTTGACGTGCGAGCTTGGGTTGTCGCATCACAGCTTCACAATAAGAGGCAAATGCTTGTTGGTCTTCTTAATTCAATTTCCGAACAAGGCAACCCAGAAAGCTCCACTGATGAGGATCTTGCTTTAAAACTCTATCAATGTTTAAAGCGTCAAAGGTACATGGTCGTGGTTGATGATGTGTGGAGTGGTGAGGCATGGGATGATGTTAGCAATTGCTTTCCTGATGATGGTAATGGGAGTCGAGTGTTGTTAACTACTCGCCTCGCAGAGGTGGCAAATTATACTAGCTCCGACAATGACTTTTTTCATCATATGCAATTATTGGATCAAACTGATAGTTGGAATTTATTTTGTGAAAAGACAGGTAAATCTCGAGGTGCTGAATTTGAGATAATCGGGAAGCCAATTGTTGAAAAGTGCAAAGGATTGCCTCTAGCAATAGTTGTGGTTGCCGGACTATTCTCCAAACTCAATACACTAAATGAGTGGGAGAATATTGCAAAAGCTCTAGACTCTTCTACAACAACAACTATTGCGGCAACATGTTTAAAAATACTCTCACTGAGCTACAATCATTTGCCTCACCATTTAAAGGCATGCTTTTTATATTTAGGGGTTTTTCCAGAAGATAATGAGATCAATGCTAATGAGCTTTCAAGATTATGGTCAGCGGAAGGACTTGTAAAAGCATCCGAGAATGAAAACTTTGATACAGTGGCTGAAAGGTACATACAAGAACTTATGGATCGAAACCTAATTCTTGTGAGCAAGTGGAGTTGTTGTGGAAGAAGAATTAAAGTGTTTGGGGTGCATGATTTAATGCATGCCTTTTGTGTGAAAGAAGCTCAAGAGGAAAACCTTTTGCATGTTGTTCGAGAAAATGGTTCAGATTTTCCTCAAAGATGCTTCCGTTGGGTAAGCATACAATCATCAAATTTTGATGTGTCTACACTATGTTATTCATCAAGAAGTTGTCGGTCCATCTTCTGTTTTTCAGAGTGTATAAGCTTAAATTTGAAGCAGTTCAAGCTATTGAGGGTGTTCTTCTTTATTAGCTATCGGATGTACAAAAACATTGTGGATCTCGTCCATTTGAGATATTTACCTCCAGCGCTTGATAATCGTATGATTATGGAACTGTTCAAGGCTTGGAATCTTCAAACACTATATATTTGTTCAGATAATAGGAACTATTTAGAGTTCCCACAATTGCAATATTTTCGTTGTGTATTTATTACGGGACATCCTCCCAAATTTGTTCATCAAAACTTGCAGAGTCTTTCTTGGTTGAGCCCTAATCACTGCACAGAAGAATTCTTTACACATGTTCCAAATGTAAAGAAGATACAGATTGCCGGTGCAATAAGAGAGTGCAATGATTGCATCGAGAATCTTGTCAATTTACAGCAGCTGGAGAGACTGTATATTAATGCTAATAGAAGGGATTATACGAGTCCAAACATGGTCCAGATTAACAGCCATATTGTTCTCTTGAAAAGCCTTAAGAGGTTAAAGTTTCGAAGTAATTGGTTTGAGTGGAATGGAATTAATGTTCTTTGCAAGTTGCCTAGGTTGGAGGTGCTCAAGTTAATTGGTGCCTGTGTAGGCGAACTGTGGGAGCTACCAGAGGATGACAAATTCTGCCAGTTAATTGTTTTGGAAATTGTTGCAACTAATCTCAAGGATTGGAAAGCCACTGGTGATCATTTCCCAAAACTTGAGCACCTTTGCCTTTTTTCATGCAGGAAATTGAAAGAGATCCCTAGCGGGTTTGCAGAAATTTCGAGATTGAAATCAATCCAATTAGCGGGTTGTCGTTCTTCTGTGGTTGCTTCAGCCGAGGGAATCAAGGAAGAACAACTTGATTATTTGAATAATATTGTGAATGTGGTTGTGGCGGAGCAACGTTGCTACTCTCCGGTCTCTCTCTCTTTTATCTTTCTTAATTACTTTCTCTCTAAACTCCACTCAGTTTCATCATTATCCTAATTTAGTTTCAACGATTCATGACAGGATTCTGAGCTCGAGTCTGATGATGAAGCGTAGTTTGACGAAATCGAGTTTTGCCAGAAGAGTAGAGAAAAGAAGACTAGGCAAAAATCGGTATGCATATATATCTATCAATCACTGTGAACCTTGTAAAATTGTATTGTGTAGCTCTGAGTAAGAAAGCGTTGTTGCATCATTTTAACTATTTGTGCTTTAAAGCGAGTCAGACCGTCCTTTAATTTGTTGTGCTTTTTTGCTTTTAAAAACGTTTGTTTGTATTTCATTCATAAGGTCATGTGATATATATATACTTGAAGTTCAATGTTTATATTGATATAGAATTTTGGCCTTTTGCACTTAAATGTTTGAATTGCAATTCAGGTAAATGCTATTTGTTGATCGAATACTTGAGGTGTTGAGTTTGAAACTTCAACTTCTTTCTGCCTTTTAGTACCTATATATCTATTGCGGATTTGAACCTATGTTAACAACAAGATTCATTGAAAGAAAAATTTAAATGCGAACTAACACATTTGTATGCCATATATGGTTCAAAACCAATGTAAAACAAATATTCGATCGTATCTTTAAAATTAATAATAATGCAAAATTTTTCAATTCTACTCACACAGTTATTAGTTCATATCTCAAATTCCATGGTACTGCTCAACAAAGTGTTGGAAAAATAACATTAAAATGGCATGTTAAGTGACTATTTTGTGGTACAATTATTAGTGGGGTCCACTTTCAATTTGGGTCGGGTCAAATTGGATTCGGATTCTTCGTAGTGAGACGAAGATATTGATATATTGTACGCTCAAAACGGATAATGGGTGAATGAGATATTGATTCTCAAAATAGACCCATTGAGTTCGAAAAATGAAGGGAAAAAGTGAACTTTTGTCCCACATTGGTTTGGAAAGAGGATTTGCCCCCCCTTTTATACAACAGCTCTTTTAGAGCTTGTAGAATTGTATAGCATAGAGGCTCTCTCGTGTGGGGGAAGGGGTGCAAATCAAATTCCAACTAGAAACGAAATTGAAAAGACTAGATTTTAGCCCGATCTTCTTGCATTTTGAATTAAAACTCAAATAAAATGAATGTCAAAATTGAATGCTATTGATTCTTCACCTCCTTTATAAAAAGGAGTGTAGTAGCAGTGTTTCTACACAGATTGAGAACAACACACACAACATAGAAATTTTGTTTTCCCAGCTCCAAAATCTCTGCTACTACTCCTTTCTTGAAGCTGTGTTCTGCCCGTGCTCTTGTTCGCCGGGTTCGTTCGTTTGGGTGCTCAAACGTCGAATCGTTGTACGTTTTATCCTGAGAAACCTAGGCCACAACGTTCCTAACTCGTACTTTCTTCTTTCTTCCTTCTCATTCTTTCTTGTTTTGGATTATGCTCTAAGCGAAAATCCTTTCTTCCTTCTTGTTGGATTGGAATTATAATATGTGGATTATAAGTTCCAATTTCTTAGTTGATATATATTGGTATATCTTTTTCGTAGATACATATATATAACCTTTGGATCCGTTTTTATATATATTTGTGTGTATATATATATTTCGGATATATATCCAATAATATTTTATATATATTTCGTGTGTATATATAAATATTATTTTAGGAATATTAAATCGATTTTGGTTCGTTATCCCCAACACAAAGTTCATGTGTTGACACACCTCAACAAAATGATGCCCCTGAATGCAAAAACTGGCCTGCACCTAGTGAGATCTTATTGAGTCAAGTTCACCATACTATTCTCCCTCCAATCTACCTAAACTTATGGTTGTTAACGAATCGAACATAAACAAACGGAGGTTGTTCGTGTTCGTTTGTTAAGGTTTTTGGAGTGTTCGTGTTCGTTTGTTAAGGTTTTTGAAAATCATGTTCGTATTCGTTTGTTAAGCGTTCATTAGTGTTTGTTAACGTTCGCGAACACGTTCACTAATGTGTTCGTTAACATTAACGAACACGTTCATGAATATGTTCGTTCATGTTCATATATAAATACGTTCGTGAATGCTTAATAACCAAACATATAAAAATGTTAATGATCACAAATTGTTCGTGAATGAACAAAATAATAATAATAATAATATATGTTCACGAAAAATAACCAAACAAGTAACACAACTACAAAGATAATACAAACAAATATTAAACGAACACAGCAAACGAGCTTACAACTGTTCAGACTTTTTTATAAACCGAGCTCTAAATTTTGTTTGTTAATGTTCGTTTACCTTAAAAAACGAACATAAACTAACGCTTATCAAACAGAACACGAGTAGATTAACGAAAGCTCTGTTGACTAACACCCCTACATAAACTGATTCCTTTCTAATGCTGATCACAAATGAACCCACAAGAATAATCAAATTCACTAGCTTTATTATCTCTTGAAGCTAGCCCACATTCTATAGTACGTCTATCCCAAACATCTCCATCTATCTTCCTGATGAAATAATAATAAATGTTAAACACAAAGAGAAAATTAAAATACCTCATCACCTTGCTGCCTAAATTGAGTCATCAGAATTAAGAGACTTCCCGAGCCCAATTGATCCTGAAAGAGTGCAAGATGAGGCAGTATCGAGAAAGTAACAGAGTGTAATCTTGATTTAGATTTGGCTATTGCTCAAAAAAAAAAAAAAAAAAAAAAAAAAAAAAAAGAGCGCTATTGGACCGTGCACTCTGCACCATCTTCATAGTTACATCTCCTCAAACCTATGACAGAAATGTCTTACATTTGTGGCTTTGATAAAATTAAGCTTCCAACTTTAGTTTATGAAACATTAGAGGCCATTGATTGGTGGACAACAACTCCGGAGTCCTATTATCATTACCAATTGGTGAGAAGCGTATGGTATGGGATGTAAATGAATATTGGCCGCAGTTAAGCAAAAGGCGAATGGGGCATTTGATAAGCGCTAATTCTTAGTACTTGTATGTGCACAATTGACATCAAACTTATATGATTTCATGTTCTAAGTATAAGCTTATTTGATTTATTTGTGTCGTTTTAAGGGATTTGGAGGCATTGATTCTAACATCATGTAAATTGGAGCTCAATTGAATGTGTTTTGAAGTCATCTTGGCACAACAATGTTGATAAGGAATATTCCTGGAATATATATCCCTCTACGTACTGTATACCTGCTCGGTATCCGGTCAGGTCGCTGAGAAAAATCAGTCCCGACCTTAACCGACCATTTAGTTTGATATTCTTGACATAAATGCAATAACCGAGCTGAATAAAGATTGCAGTAGCGCTTCACAGCTTAGGGATTGACCCCGACTTGTTTACGTCGGGACGATCATCCCGAGCAGGGCTACTTGAGGATTTGAACCTAGATTCTTGGCCTTAACCCAACCCCATCCCCATGGGCGATCAGGAATCTAGGCACATGTGGCTATCGTGGCGTTGTTCCCGAGCCCACCAGCTGCATGTACAACACGTGTTAGTTATGTTGAGAGCCTGACATGTGTCTCCCTTCCTCCGCTATAAATACCGCATTTAAGGCTAAAGGGGAGGGGGGGGGGGGGGTTGGCATCTTCATCTACCACATCTTAGCTCAGAACTCTTTAACCTCACATCATTTACCGAGCTCAAGACTTAAACCAACAAGTGGACTGTCGCAGGGCCCGAATACGACCCATTCCTTTAGTTCGTAGGTATTTGGGACATCACAAGGTATTTATTACACTATCAATTTGGCGTTGTCCTTGAGGGCTCATACCAACATTCAATCATGTATCCATATTTGAACTTCTTCAATGAACCTGAAGCCGAGGATTGTAGCTCAGATTTACGGTCACATCTGAATGTTCGAATGGACCTCAATCAGACTCCTTCAGGGGGGAGGGGGGACAGCTCTGGGGGAAGCAGTTCATATGATCAATCAAGGGCCGACATTCCCTGCCGGCTGCCGCCCCCGATCACATGCCTTATTAGTTTCCCATGAGTCTTATTGGGTTACTAGACCCAACATTCCAGTGGTGGCAAAATTTGCCACGATTTTACACTCCAGCTTATCTGCCTATGTCGGCCATGTATCCACAATCAATGTACATGACAGCTTCAACCGCACCGGAGGCGGTGCCTACGGATGGGCTCGGGAGAAGGGAACCCGAGCTCCGTCACGCACAGCTAGAGCGCCAAGCGCCTCTAGGTCATCATGAGACTTCTCCCTAACCTCGCAGACCCGGTTGGGTTCTGTGGAAGGATTTGAGGCGGAGTCCAGTCTGAGGAGAAGCGCCTTTGATCGTATCCCGCCGCCAGTGCAAGATTACTCACTAGAGGTATAGAATCACCATGTATTTGGAAATAACACCAGAAAAGTTTCTCTAGTCAAGATCAGATTATCCCAAAAACACACTATAATGATTTGTCAATACTAGGATTATGTGGTCTAATGGTACTTGGGTTGGACTTCCATTTGAAAGGTTGTAAGTTCAAGCCTCAGTGGAGGCGAGTATATATATATATATATATGTGTTTTGGGGAAACTTTCAAAACGCCAACTGCAAACGTCTGCTAACCAAATGGTTTTTTTTTTTGCTGTTTGACATTGTCAAAAATGACGGATTTACCAATAACCAAACATGGCCAAAGTCATAAAACACATGGTCGAAATGAAATCTCAGAGATTTTAAGAAATTATTGGCCACAATGTATGAGGTAATAAATCTAGATTGAAGTCTCAAGTCTGTAGCATGCATGTGTAAATAATACATATAAATATACATAAATAACACATAGTATGCGTGCAGATAGAACATGTAAACACAACTAACAACATAGAGTTTATACAATAACTTGGATTTTAACAACATAGATCAGAGTTTATAGCATAACTTGGAGTTATTCATTTGCTTGCCATCCTTAACCCCTGTTGAAGAAGATGACTTTTATTATTCATTCCATAAAGCACAGGGAAGTACACATACGCAGAGTACATCGACAGTCGAAACACATGTAAATAACCTTATAAACTCAACAACTGTATAAAAAGAGCCACAGCAGACAGCAACAAATGCTCTTTTTGGCTCTCATCTGCATAAACAGAAAATTGCAGATTCTTAATAAGAACTACTGTAGAAAACAGGAAATGATAACTGCTTACCTTTAAAATCCAAGGCATGAAAACCTTTTCTTGATTTTCACAGAAGCTCGAACGGGAGACAAAGTCACCGATACTTTGTGTGCCATTTGCTTACATAGAGGGCAGATGCCTCGATTTTCTGCAGACCAAGCAGCTTCACATGTATTATGGATGAGGTTAAACCTGCATTTGCAGTTAACCCTCTTCATCACCGCATAATCCTCCTTCACAAGCATTTTCCAGCATTTTTTGCAAATAGCTTCCATCTTTGGAATTTTTGTATCATCTTCTGATATTAAAATTTAGGATACATATATAGGTTAACTCAAGGTTGTATATGCACATATTCTCTAGCTCAAATTTCTGCATGAACTATGTAGTTTGTACCGTTAATGTAGCCGCTAATAGGTCTCACCACGAGGAATTCTTGCTCTTGAAAGACATTTTCTTTTCCAACCTTGAGTTTATATACCATGCAGGGTTAGTACTATATGTATAGCAAACAATTGAGCATTAATAAACATCTTACAATATCCAAGAGGACTTGAGAAATCATGTGACATAGCTATAATGCAAGTAAAATTTCAATGTGGATAAACCACTATTCCAAAAATAATTAAATCGAATCCTTTGCTAAAGGTGTTGCTTGCTTCATAATAGACATAGGCTTTTATTGGATATAATATCAAATTGAAAGATGTTTTATTGCCACAACTAAGGGTGTGTTTGGTTCGCACATCGGAATCGGAATGGGTATAAAATACTTGGTAATAGTAATGGATTTTGGTGAAAGTATTTAACATGTTTGGTAGTAGGGTGGAATGAGAATGGTTACTAATAGTAGTGCTTGAGAAGGAATATGGGAATGAAACCCTTATTTTATTTGGGTATGGGTTTTTTAATGAATGGGGTATTTGAAACCCATAGTAGTGTTGTAAAAACCTATCAACCAAACAATAACAATCACTTTCATATCCATTCCCGTGAGCAAAACCCGTCAACCAAATACACCCTAAAAGTTTAAAACTGCATAATTTTATTTAGGTTGCCCATAGTTTTTTATTTGTTCATAACAACATTCTCAACAAGCACAAACAGTCAATACTGCTCCGAGGGAATTGAACCCATGACCTTCCATTTGGGAGCCACTTTGTGCCACTAGACCACAAGGCCATTGGCAGGGTGCCCATAGTTGACCGGCTCAAACCAAGAAAGTTGGAGTTCAAACTCGTGACCTTATTATTACAAGTTTATATCCTTACCCAACTTGGTTGGGGTTACCCCTTATCAGTAGTCATTTTGTATGCACATAAATCGGCCAGGAAATGGTTGATATTATTTGTATTGGACAACTTAGCACATTCCCCCAATTGAATGTACAGAATTGGTAATATATAAATTGTCAAAATGTGTGGCATATAAATATATAATAGTGTACTCTGTTTTTGAAATTTTTTATAACAAAGTTTCAAACTAAGATGAGGTGAATTAGGGCCCAATCAAATCACCACAAAAGCCATAAGCTATATCATACTTGAAGAAAAGTTGTATATTTAATTCTCTGATTTCTCTCTACCCCTGCCTGCCAGTGCAGCTGTGCAACTGTACAAGGCTCATATATTCATATCCATTTTCTGCATTTCAATACTCGAAAACACAAGCACAAATATCAAAATTAATGAAGAATCCTTAAATTTAGAGAGGATGGTAAAACGTGAGGGCAAGGAGACGAGGAAGAACAACTCACGGCCTTACGCATGATGAATACACAAAATAATTCCGCCTAATCTGATGAAGATTTGAAATGCCCGATCATAGGTTTGCACCCAACATGTTTCCGTTTAGCGGGAAATGGAGTCGAGGCAAATAAATAAATAGAATAAAATAATAATATAATTTCATAGTGATATTCAGTGATTACGTCGGATACTCAGTCTATTGCAACGTCAAATATATGTTTATCTTCGATCATAGGCTTTCCATCTGCCCATCTGGGATAGTGGGATTCATATTAATATTCATTCGTTTATCTTCAAATTTGTTTGAATTTGATCAAGTTTTTTTTTTTTTTTTTTTTTTTTTTTTTTTTTTTTTTTTTTTTTTTTTTTAAATGATTGAATTTATACACATCTCACTGATTCTTATTCATGCGGCTGCGGCTGCGGCGGATTAGGTTAATATGGAAATGTAATATTAATATTGAAAAATATAATACGGAGTACTAATTAAGAAATCGGGAATAAAGTATTTGTTGAAGAAATGTAATACTTTTAAACGTATTACATTTTTTCTTTAACAGCACGTTTGGTTCACGGAATGGATTTTGAGGTAATAGGAATGCTATTCCATAAGGAATAGAATAGGTAAGGAATAGAATATGAATTGTATTCTATTGTTTGGTTCGCGGAAAGAATAGACTTTAGGAATTATATTACAGTGTTTGATTGATTTAAGGAATAGAAATGAAATATGTTTTAAAAGACATAAATACCCTTATAAAAATATGTGATGGTGGCGATGGTGGTGGCGGTGGTGGCGGCGGCGGTGGTGGTGGTGGCGATGGTGGTGGCGATGGTGGTGATGGTGGTGGTGGCGGTGGCGGTGGCAGTGGTGGGGGTGACAGTGGTGGTGGTGACGGTGACGGTTGTGGCAGTGGTGGTAGGGGCCGCAACGGTTGTGGCGGTGGTGGTGGCGGTGGTGCTGCTAGGTGGTGGTTCTGGTGGCGGTGGTGGCGGCAGTGGCGGAGATGGTGGTGGTGGCAGTGGTGGGGGCGGCGGCGGTTGTGGCGATGGTGGTGGTGGTGGCGGCGGCAGCGATGGTGGTGGTGGTGGTGGTGGTGGTGGTGGCGGCGGCGGTGATGGTGGTGGCGACGACGGTGGTGAAATATGATAAATTTAAATATAGGATAAAAAAAATTAAGTTAAAGAAAGGTGTAAAAAAGAAAATAAATTCTAAAATCTATTCTTAAGTGTTCAGTAATAGGCTAATACCAGGGGGGCCCTAGTAATAGCTATTACCTCATTTGAGGTAATAGAAATGGTTACCAAACAGAGGAATAGACCTATTACTGGGAATGTTATGCCATTCCCGGCCTATTCCGTGAGCCAAACAGGCCATAAATGTATTACACTTTCTCACATAAGTAACAAATATCTATTCCTAATTAATATTACATTTTTTAATATATGTATACATTTTAATCTTCACTCGATTTATTTCACGGACAACGATCCATGAGATGGTCTCACACAAATTGTGACTATTCATTTAAAATCTTTAATGTTCAATTTAAATTTGTAATATGGTATAGTATCTCTATATGGTAAAATTAGTTGAAAAATGATAATAATTCACACACATCCATCACATTCAATTAACGGTTTTAGATTGACAACATAAGTTTTACGTGCTGCATGACTCTTACATGACTTGTTAAAAGTGCAAGTAAAATTACTTAAAAGTGTAATTGTTTTTACTTAATACTGTAAGTAATTTACCTTTTTAACATTGATATATCTAATGATAATGTCTTTCACATTGGTGCACTTAATGATAACGGTTGGTGTAACTAATGATAATGTTAGGTGTATTTAATATCGATGCTCAGCGTACATTCTTTGTTGTTACAATTTACTTGCACTTTTAACACAATTTACTTGCACTTTAAAGTTTATTTTTTTACGAAAATACCATCACGTTTTTAAAAAATAAACAGTGTTTTTGATCCGTTAGATCTGGACATGTGGACGGCTGCGATTGGTTCTCAATTCTCTCCTACGCATGTGATCCTCACCTAATCGGTCTCATATATATAGGCTTCGAATCCGGTGCACCCCCTTTGATAAATGAGGTCATGAGACCTCATGCTATCCATTGATTAATTTTTCATCAATGGTTCAGATAATTAGAGTTTATTAATAGAAGAAAGGATATATATTAACCAAAAGGATTAAACTGTAATTGTAGTTATTAAACTATTTATGGCATTAATAGTAATGGAATCTTAAGCATTAAATTAGGGATATAATTTATGGTAATTGAGGAGATAAATTGTTAAATCTTCAGGGAACCAAGAAACGCACTTCAGTAATGGCTGGACCAAGCACAGGTAGGTGCATTACTTCATATTGGCGTGTGCGTAATACCTGTATTTGCGTTTTTTACTGTTTTTGTTGACGTGACGAACAACCGGGTGCATGTAGTAACAATAGTCAGTGCATTATAGATGATTAGGCACTATGTCGGTGCATAGTCGTGTGTTCGCATGTGCGTCATACCAACATTTTCGTTGCTTATTTTTTCATTTATGCGATAGCGTGATTGCATATAAGCTTGTGCAACCCTGCCGGGTTTATTAGGGCGTGTATGTATAGGGGGAGCTTAGGGGCTGGGTGCGTGGAGTAACAAAAGTCCGTTCATTATGGCTGAGTATGCACTTGAGGGTGCGTAGTCGTGTATTGGTATGTGCATATTACCAATAGGACCGTTACTAATTTGTTAGTTGATGGGAAGAGCGGACTATCAATTAGGGCTATCTGTGAACCTAGGGAAACAGCTGGTATGTGGTAGCGTGGATGCATATAAGCATATGCAACCCGTCCGGGTTTATGACATCATGTATATATGATGGGAGCTTATGGGGCCGGGTGCGTGTAGTAGTAATCATCTGTGCATTATACTGATGTTATGCAGTAGGATAGTGGTTGTGTTTATTTTTTGGTTCTGCTAGTTTATGGGGGTGACACGCGTCGATTTAAAACACCCCATGTGAGGGCGTTAGTTGAGGAGGATGGTTAGTAGCCAACAACTGGTATGTGGTAGTGTATCACTGGTTCCCTGGTTCGACATTGGTTCCCAGTATAGTTGGTTGTGAATGTTTGATTTTTAATTATTAAATGAATGGATATTACCACTCGTATTGGTCAACTGCCTGTATTTTGTGATCAAATGTAAATGTGATGAAATTTTTGTTATATTGAAGGTGCACCAAGAATAGAGGAAGATGATGACGGGATATACTGTGCAATGGATGTATCACCACTTGGCCAGCTTCTGCAACCCTTCCGGCTATATTACGTCGTGTATATATAATGGGAGCTTAGGTGCCGGGTGCGTGTAGTAACAATAGTCAGTGCATTATAGATGATTAGACACTATGTCAGTGCATAGTCGTGTGTTCGCATGTGCGTAATACCAACATTTCCGTTGTTTAGTTTTTCGTTTATGCGGTAGCGTGATTGCATATAAGCTTGTGCAACCCTGTCGGGTTTATTAGGGCGTGTATGTATAGGGGGAGCTTAGGGGCCGGGTGCGTGGAGTAACAAAAGTCCGTTCATTATGGCTGAGTATGCACTTGACGGTGCGTTTTCTGTGTATTGGTATGTGCATATTACCAATAGGACCGTTACTAATATAGGCTTACCGTCATGCGACCCATCCATGCGTGAAAGCTTATACAGCATGTGCGTAGTGATTAGCATTCGTAACATGCATTTTTACACCATACACGTAACACGGACTGGGTTTTTTAAAAAGTAAAAATGAAATTGACACCCAAGCAATTTATAGAAGGCGTACAACAAGTCATGACTCACAGTGAGGCCATAAAGAAATAATGTGTTTTACAATATGGATGGGGGGAAACTATCATGATGCTGATATGTCATAACTTCATCAATCTCATCCGGCACTTGAGAGGGGGAAATAAAACTTCATCAACCTCATCCGGCACAACATCCAAATCCGGGGCTGGTTGTGCGGGTTCATCAAAAACAGCAGCAACCTCAGTCTGAGGCAAAGGATCAACCACATTGGCAGCACCTACCGGCTCAGCAAAAAATAAGTAAATGAAGGCGTACCGACTCAACAACATAAACGCACCAACCTAAATGAAAAAAGACAAGAAAATATAAATAATAGTGCCAATTAGCAACTAAACCACACCCTATCTTGCAAACGGTAAGACACTGCTACGCACAAACCACGACAACTAACAAGGCAAACCCCAAAAACCCCGACCAATAAACAAAAAACACGCACCAACCCAAAAATAGTGGTGTACCCGCCTAAAAAAGAAAAAAAAAGAAAAAAAAAAGAAAAAAAAAACAACCAAACAAGCAGTAGCAATTCCCCAACCACACTTTAAATCTAACTTGCACACGGTCACAGACACAACGCACAAACCACCACCAATAGCCGCGAACCACCCCGAACCCCTAAGAAATAAT